AGCCAGCTCTTATGCTTGTAGCCTTGAATAACAGAAGGATTCATGGAAATTCTAGTAAATTTATGTTTAAAGGTACATTAAATAACAAAACTTGTAGTTTTACAATATATGAGATTCTCGGTATGACGTAACTATTTTAAATTAAAAATTTGTAAGCTCAGTGGATACTCAAATTCCTATTTATTCTACGACTCTGACGTATCCAATAGGTGAGCATGTTCCTGTAAGGTTAAGGCTCAATAAATTAGTAGTTTTTAAAAAACACGAGGTTAAAATGTTTATGTACGTAACACGTATGGTTGATTACTGAATTCTTGCAAGTGACTTCTTTGATAAAATAGGTGTAACAGAAAAAATTTATAGTTTAATATTTGGAAAAAAAGATTTACAAGATAAAGATAATGCCCCTGTTAGACAGATTATAAACTTACAGGACATTCTTTACGTTAGTTGACAGGGTATTATTTATCATAATTTTGAAAAATTAAAGAATCACCAGAAATAAAAGTTGACAGATTTGCTAATTAAATAGACAGATATTTTCGAAGAGGACACTGTCGTAAGAAAATGTGATTTTGTGGCTACTGGCAAGTGGAAATTAGGAATGAAGATATAAAAATCACAGCTTTCTCTGTTTAACAAAGATTATAGCAATTCAAAGTCGGCTTATGTAATGCACCAGCGACTTTTGAAAAATTTATACAAGAACTTTAAGGATAACTCTACTAAATCTGCTTAGTTTAGTAAGATGACTGATAGTATTAGTAGACTCGTTTGAAAAGATATTAGTGAATCTCAAAAAAGTATTTCTCCGATTTCAAAAAGCTTATCTTTGAATAAATAAGAGAAATGTTATTCCTTTAAAAGGGAAATTTAATTTTTTTGTATCATCGTATCAAAAAAATTAAAGGAGACAGATCCACAAAACATTAGGACTGTTTTGAAATGGCTGATTTCAAGAACATAAAAAATATAAGTTAGTTTTTAGGATTTTTCTCGTACTATAAATGATTAATTAAGGGCTTTTTCCGATATTGCTAAGCCTCGTCATGGTTTAACATTAAAAATCGAGCCTAATGAGTGGTCTTCAAAGAGTTAAATAGTAGTTCTTTTCCTGGCTTTTTCCAGGCTAGATTATTTATCTCAGACAATGACACATCAGACCATGGCATATGTTTAGTTTTATTTGAGAAGCAAAAAAGTAAGAAAATTCTTATAGTTTCTTATAATCTAATGTACAGTCTATCAAAAAAAAAAATTACTAGATCTAGATTTGATAACCATAGAGGTCAAGTCCTTCCAATTTTACATTATTAAAAAAAGTTTAAGGACCACCGACATGATTTATTTGCTTAGCATAAAGCTCCCAATAATCAAAATATGCTGTAAAAATAGTTGGTCAAACTTTCACAGATGTGTGTAATCCAGCAAATGTTTTAAAACAAAATTAATTGGTTCACAAAATGTTTTCGTCAAATTTTTCATGTTGGAAAAAATCTTTGACTAAATCATCAAACGAAAAAAAACAATTTAATCATTTTTTAAATAAATTTTTAAAATTTTGTTGATAAATACCTTTATGAATGGATAAGATTTGCCGTTAAATAGATAGACTACGTATATTCTGTTACAATACATATAAAGCAAATTAATAGAAATATTGATTTCAGAATAAAGATTGAGAGCTCAGATAATAATTAATAATTGGTATTGGAGAAAAGTTAGTATTTTCTATTTATAGAGAGATGGGCTAAGAACAGAATTTACCTGGTCTAGGGAATGTGAGATGGTAAGGTGGTTATTAACTAAATTCAGATCTTCCAACTGCGTATTAAAGGGTTTAAATATTTTTGTAGTTATTTGAAGAAAAAAATGTTGTTTCATTAATAATCAAACTCAGTCAGCTAAAATTACTCTTTCATATACTAATGCTCTCTTAAAATTTGAATCTTCATTTCAAAATAAGCTGTAATGTTCTTAGCAGCAGCTTCTCTGCATCCATCAACGATTAGATAAAAAAATTATTTTGCTCATGGGTTTGTGAACGAACAAATATACTGTTTTTTCTAATTAATTAGAAACTGGAGTAGAAAATAAAGCTCTTAGTGAATTTATATCTTGAATATAAATTAATTTGTTAACCAACAAATATTTCATTGGGTTATTAAAAATGTAACCGTTTTATAAATAATACAATACTCCTTCGGTTCCTCAAGATGAAGCTACATAATGCCTACAACTAAAGTAGTTGTATATTTGATACTAAGTGAATAAATAAGGTTATTGAGTACCATGCGTTAAAGTTATAGGATTAGAAAATTTAATTTCTTTAATCTGTTGTTAAAAAAAAACAATGACTAATTTATAAGAAAGTTTCATGTCCTCAATATTGACTAAAAAATATAGGCGTAGAGCATTCTCCAAGGAAACAAATAATTTGACTAAGGTATCTTTAATCGTTATCTTACTTGTACATAAGATAAAGTTTCAGAAACTGCTAATACTGCTGACCACGAAAACTTGTGAGCCAATTTTGCTCATATTTTGATATTGATTCTGGACACTTCCTAATTGCTTTTTGTGAAGTTTTTATCTTAAAGAAATACGTGACAATAGCAATAAATAAGCTTCAAGTTTTGCAAAATTACGCTAGCTTTTTACTTGAGTTCAGTAGGATCCACTAGGTGATGCAGAATTTAAATCGAAGCTACCTGCAGTTAAAGTAAGTAAATCAGGTGCCAAGATACATGAGAAAGCTACCATAATCTATGGTAGTTCACGGGCAGTGCACCAAAAATAGAGTCAGTTTTTTTTAAGTGCCATCTAAATTTAAACTTTCTTGCTCACAAATATATTTTTTCAAATATTTCTGACAGTAATTCGTGCACCATAAGACAGTATAAGGCTGGCCACTATTAAATCAAGCCAGTCGATCACTGGCAGACGTAACGAATGGTGTTGTTCGTCGTGAGTCAGGGAGCCCCTGCCACTGATGACTCTGCATTACTCTCTGAACTATAAGTATTGAATCAGGAATAACCGGTTCTCTGAAGTCTGCTCTGGGTAAACCTAACCCTAAATTAAGCCGTAAAAGAGAATAAAACTCGAGTAAACAGATCAGTCTCCAACAAGTAAGCGCCAAGAACCAGTCTCCCCACCTTAGATGGCCAATCTGACTAAGCTCTGCAAAAAAGTGGTTTGGATACCAACGTCTCTAGAGTAACACTTAAAGACGTTGAGAAAAATCTCTAAAATTAGCTCCTAACGTTGTAGTTCTGCTCTTTATTAGTCTGATGATACAATAGTGGGTCAGAGAAGATACCCCTTCGGTATCCAGGCAGTTACATTTGCTAAAAACTTCAGTCGAAAAAGAGTTTAGTTCACTGGCCCTTATTTAATCTTAAACTGTTTAACTAACAAGTATTATCACATTAAAAAAATTTGCGAAAAATTGCCCTTAACAAAATTTTTCAACAAAGCCTAGGATTTAAAGAGGGAGAGTTAGAGGAGAACTTCAATTGTTCCAAACGTATATAATTTTAGGTGTCAAGAAACTGACGCAGAGCATTTATCAAGTTTGAAACAGCGCCGTGAAAATCGACGAATAAGGAATCTGTAAAGTGAGGGATCAGATTTTCATCCTAACAGTAATAACTTGAATCTTCTAGCAATTAAAAGAGATATCATTTGTACTTGAATTCACTGTGGCACTAAAAAAAAAAAGACTATGTTGCTCCGGTGATGAAGTTATAAAATTAGAAAATAAAGATTTACTAATTTTTTGTTAGTTTCAAATCCTTACAGTTTTAGCAAACAACCCTTTTTATTTAATATTATTTGAAAAAGTGCAAATCAGCAGCCATTTAGGGATATCAACTATTCCATGGAATAAAGAAGTCACGGAACTATTGGGCATAATTATTTTTACTTTATTTTTTACAGCTTATTATTTGGCCACATAAACTGCATGGATCTCAAACAAAATGGTTTTTAATTAGAAGCTTTTCTTTCTGAAAGCTGCCTACAAAAAAAGCAATATTTTATCTGACAACGTTTAACCTTAGGTATGTGTCAACGTACTACGGTATTCTATTCAGTGAGTTTTGGACAAAGCCATGACAAGGGGGGCCTAGTTGTTATATACTTTAAAGTTACAGAATGAATAAGATTTAGTAAAGTGTCTTTTAACTTATAATTTATATGCACTAATTAAGTATCACGCGTAATATAAATAATAGAATTTCAGCTTAATTTCAGTTTCATAAAATAGGCCTGAAAAACAAATTAAAAAACTTTTGTAACATAGAAACCTTACTCTTAAGTAGACAAATCAAGTTAATCAAGATTTGTACAGTTATAGTTATTCTGTTTTAAGTAGCACATATGTTAACCTAATTAGTTCGTAGATGAAGTATTTTTAAAATTACTTGCTTTTTGAAAAATGAAAAGCTTAGTTTAAGAAACTAATGCAAGGCAGCATTTTCTCTGAATGCATGACCACGTTATCAACATATTATTGTCCTGCGTATTTGAACACTATACAGCAAACATGATAAAAAAGGAAGACATGAAGTTTTCAGTTTACTGTCTATCTTAAATGACACGAAAATTTGATACTGACGGGTTTATACATATACATGATATCAAAGGTGTAGTATTGATAACTGATGTAACTACTAGGGTGTAATGGATCTGCATACAAAAATTAAAAAATTAAGTATTGGCCAAAGCCAAAAGTCAGGAAATAAGTTTATAACGTTCAGTTATATTCACTTTAGTAAATTGATAAAACCGTTTTCAATAAATGTAAGAAACTTAGATTTCTTTACAAATCTAGTTAATGAATGGATGTCTTAGAGAAGTTATCTATCAATTTATGGATTATGTCATTATTTTCTCTACATTACTAACATTTATGTGCATTTAAATAATTATGTATACGATAGAATAGAGATAAAACTTTTATTTAATCTATTTTGAAATACATATTTTTTTAGTACCTGTATTCTTGCCTCGTTTAACTTAGTACTTCTTGCCAGTTCTTCTCTACAATATATGTCAGGGTAGTGCGATTTAGCAAATGCTGACTCTAACTCAGCAAGCTGTTCCTGAAAAAATCATATAATTACATAACAATATGTATTATTATATAACTTCTAAACATAATGTAAATTGTAAATTAAACTTGGAAGAAATCATTATTTTTGCTTCTAATTAAGTAAAAAAATGAAATTTATAAGTACCTCATACCATTCAAGTCAATTACAAAGCGTTTAAGAGTTTTGAAATTAAAAAAAACGATATTATAAAATTCAACCTATTGCTTTATACGTAAAAGTACTACAAACATTTAATCTGAGTTTTTTAATCCACTATTCTCAATTATTATTTCAAGCTGGATTTACAAGCTTTATGGTCTTTATTATTTGCTCCTGTAAGCAACGTATCCACTTGTTAACGTTCCTTTTGTAAGCTTCCATCAGTTAGGTAACATAATAATTTGTCATGGGTATAAGGGAAATGTTAATGCTGTATAATGTGTATTAATGTAGTAACTTGCGCACAACGAAAAGATTAACCATACAAAACAGTTACATTATGTACGCGAGCGTTCGTAAGTATTACAACTCACTTGTCACTGGTCAAACGATAGATCACGCTACATGATAAGGCTTTGCAGTGTTTATATAGTTTGCACAATAAAAGTAGACGTAGTAAAGTATTGTTCTCCATTGAAACATGTATACTTTCGTAATAATAAAAGATATAATTTGTTAAGGTATAGTACGTCTTCTTTCTTATTGACGTTATTACTTTCTGACTTTATAAAGAGACTGACNCAATTGCCTCGCAGAGAAAGTTCAAATTAGTTTTGCTAGTAAGTACTAACTGTGATTCTCACCTAAGCAACAGTATTGAATTTTTCTCCCTGAAATCATAAAAAATGGTCGTATTTTCAGCAAAAGAAAGAGTAAAAACCGTATAAGGCCTTTGAGAACATATATATATATATATCCCTATATTATATAGTTGTGTTGACGAAAGTGAGTCTTAGCCCCCCCCCACTTTCCCTTAGCTCCCACTCGATTCACATAGTTATTTGCTTGTTTTTACGTCATTTTTGATCAAATTGTATTTAAGTTACCGTCCCCCGCGCCCCCTCGCTCTTCCTCAGCTCCCTCTCAGCTCTTCCTCGCTCCCCCTCCACCTCCCTTAAAAAATACTTATTGATAGAATATTCTACCATCTGAAATGTTAAAAAATATATGCAATTCAATACCCAAGTCATATCTCGTTTTTCACGTCACTGATCATAGGTCCCCCTCTGTCTATTCTCTCCCCCTTACTCACTATGTGCCACTGAAGGATCATTATTCGTTTAACTTAAATGAACTCTTTTATTTGGAATCTTTTTCTGGTCCATGTGTACTGTACCTACATAAAATTCTTAATTAACTGAGGACTTTATTTACAAAAAGACAGAACTCAGGAGCAGGTATAATTAAATAGAAAAGCACAACTAAGCTTTTGAAACAATAATTTATTCTGTGAATGCAATTTTGTGACATTTTGTATGTCGTTTTAACCCATCTGTTCTTTTAAAATCCTTTCCACATTTTTCACATCTTTTTTTTTCATGGTTTTTGTAAATTAACATTTGTCTCTTCAAATGTGACAATCTTAGAAGTTACATATCTTAGAATTACTGAAATATTTCTTGCTAAACAATTGTATTAATTTCTTATTTATCATCGGATTAAATTGAAATAAAAATTTTTTTTGGATTACATCTTGATAACGCATAGAATAACTGTCCGTAAGAGAATAAAGATTTTTTAATATACAATCCTAAGGAATCGCAACTCTATCCTTGTGATTTGTTGAAAGTCATATATAATACTAATGCTAAGGAAAACTGTTTTCTATATAAGATGAAGGGTAATGATGACGAGGTGCCAGTATTCAATGTTGTTCTAGGAATATAAGCTTTGCTTTTTTTTTCTTCCATTATTATTTCTGCTTCTATATTATACTTAAATAATTTTGTTATTTTTAATCTTGTGCCTCTACAGAGACCGTCTGATTTACTTAAAGTTTTTATTAACACTACTATAGCATTTATTTTCAATTTTAATTTGTGTGGTGGAAGACCTTCCTTGATATTATTTAAAAGTTCTATTGGAAAATTAATATTCATATTATCATCTGTTTTATCAACTCTTTTGTAAGTCACGTATTCTGCTGTTGGGTACTCATTCTCAGTCTGCATTAATAATTACACGAGTTATGTTGTTATTTTGTCTACACAATATGTTAGTGGGGGGTTGGTGCGTTGAGCGTGCAGGGGGCGTCAGCTCCACTAGTATATATATAAATTACAGTAAGAACAATATTCGTGAAGGCTTGCCACCTCATTAGCTTTAGTTAAAAATAGGTGCAGTAGTAATGTTAATTCAAAATTTAAGTATATCAGACGGCTTAAGTAACGGCACACGATTGCGAATTACCTAATTGTTGAAGTATAACATAGAAGGCGAAAAAGGCGAAAAATATATATATAGTCACCTTTTTGTCAAATATTTTTATATTATTCCAATAAAGCTCATAATGTAGTTACATGTAGTTTGATGTGCATAAACAACAACAATTCTGATTTTTTGTTCCATTTGTATTCATTTATGCATACTTGAGTTGCTCGCTTTGTCTTACCAACACATGTCGCCAGGCAGCTTTTCCAGTAGAATAAGTAAAAATCGTTGGTCTCTAAAATTATTCGTTGTCCAAGTAAAATGCGCAGGCCCAGACATCACCACAAAAATTTACTATTCTTTTTAAAAATCGAATGAGTAGTTTTCAGTATTCTGGGTACTTATGACATCGAAAAAGCCTGAGATAAGATAAGAAGTTCAACCCATGGCCCCGTAAGTTGCTCCGACTAGGAGGCTAATAGGCTAACCACTATGCTATTAAAGCTTTAATTGAGTTATATGTATAATGATACAATCTTTGGTATCACCTCATTTATTGAAAATATCAAGCTTAATTTAGAACAGTATTGTGACATTATTGTATATATTATTGACAGCTTCACCACCACTTTGAATGAAGAAGGTTCGTAAAACTTCTTTTGTGACAGTAGATACACGTGCTATTTATTTTGTTTCAAAGATTTTTTATGTATATGCATTTACTCATCAACGTTATTATAAAATGCTTGTGAGTAACTCACATGATAATTGTAGATAACCTGACTTAGTAAATAATAATCCAACAAAGAAAACTGTCACTAAGCTACTGTTTAAAGAATAATGTCTTAACATTTAGTTGCCGTTCGAGTGATTATAGCTGTGAATAAGGCATATAAAAGTAAAAAAAGTTTTAAAAGTGTTTGCACTTTCTTTTTATCAGTGTCTGTGTCATTACTAACTTTTCAATCTAAAGCGTCAAAATACTTAACCTACTTCAAGCATTTTAGACTAGCTGCTGTACTCTCAGAAGAAATAGAATTTTGTGTATCTGGTGGCGCATGTCTTCAAGGCAAGCAGTAGACCCAATGGATCCATGAAGCAGAACTCGAGAGACTCCACACGTTTGCTCTTGTTTGATGTGCACCTAAGTCGCACTCTTTTTTCCCTATTAAGAGTGCTGTAAACGTGTAAAGGTTAAAAACAAGTGGCCGAAGGTACGAACAGTAGTATTTATCACATATATGCATCTGACTAAAGCAGTTTTACTACTTCCTCGAGCGTTGATTAGCAAGCGTTCTTGGGCCCCGGAACATCTGGAGAACTGCTTACATGTTGTTAAATAGTAGTTTTTGTACCATGGATAAGAAGTTACAAAATCTCGCTTAAAGCGCATGATTTTTGTATGTGTGTGCATAAGGTGCAAGCGTCTTTGTACCCTTCAGTCACTGTGAACTGAGGAGCGGAAAAAGACATAGTTGCTTTTCTGATTGCAAAATACCTTTATCTTATACCCCCACGAAAAAAACAACTTTATTCTCTGATTTTAGCAAGCGGAGTGCAAAGTTTTTCTTAGGTAAAAAAATCGGAGGTACTGCTCATAAGGAAAGTATTTTGGTATTTTATGAACAATTGCCTCGCAGAGAAAGTTCAAATTAGTTTTGCTAGTAAGTACTAACTGTGATTCTCACCTAAGCAACAGTATTGAATTTTTCTCCCTGAAATCATAAAAAATGGTCGTATTTTCAGCAAAAGAAAGAGTAAAAACCGTATAAGGCCTTTGAGAACAAAGTACTGAATTATCTCTGGGTGTTAACCACCCTTACCTTCAGTTCAGTTGGCAACTTACATCTGGAAGGGAATGTCGTATCCTCTTTCCTCAGTGTATAATATACTATTTCGCTCTGGGGCACAAAGTGATTAGTAGTGACAAGTGAGTACATAGGTACAAAGTACGACTTTGTATCCTTGAAAAAAAACGTTTGCACCTTAAGCACATATATACAGAAACGCCATGGTTCGAGTAAGTTTTTTAACTTTGCCCCCATGGTATAAAAAATACTATTTATAATCTAGGGCACAAAGTGTAACTGCTGCTTTTCACCTTGGGACACACTTTGCGCCCATAGTTAAAACAATACTTTATACTTTAACTTATACTTTCAGGCTAAAAGTACGTTTCTGCTTCAAAATATTTACAGCAAGCGTTATTTACGTATGTAGCGTATGATGACAAGTACTAAAATGTATAGAAGGGCATGGCCATCAAAATGTGTGAATGAGTAAGAGCGTAAATGTAACTCATACAAATGTCAGTTAGTTTTCCTGGCAATCAAGGAGAACACACGTGAGCACTACGATATAAGTTCTGCTGAGAGAAGCATGCTATAAGAATCCCTTCCACATAGCTATGTGTTATAGTTAATTTACTATTAAAATATTATTTAAATTAAAACAAGAACATTTTCATTCACTGAGTACGTGTTGCATAATTTACATTTAGTGACAAAAATAAAAGTTGAAAATAAGTGGAAACAATATATAATTACAATTTAAACAGTAAGAATGCAAAGTGTGCCGATTACAGCATGTAAAGTAAAAGTTGCAAAAGTAAGATTTATTATGCAAAATTAGTTGAAGAT